AGTTGGGACCTCAGACGAAGTTGGGACCTCAGATGAAGTTGGGACCTCAGATGAAGTTGGAGCCTCAGATGAAGTTGGAACTGAAGTTGCGGAAGAAAGAGCGGTGGTTGTGACATCAGGAAATGTAAATAGACAGAAGCATGTGTCTGGGATTTCATTAGGGGCAGGATCATTGTAAGTGATACGTCTGTTAAGCAACGGTGGTGAAGCGCTGAAGCCCGAGCTTTGATATCCTAAACCAATATCAAATTCAACCAGGAGCAATCCTGTCAAACTGAGGGTCAAGATACCCGTGCTGGGATCATAACTGTTCCCGATAAAAACAAGGTTAACCTGAATACTGTTTCCTCCGCCAAAACCTGCCACTTTGATGGGGTTATCAGGTATCAAAGATACGCTCAATCCTAAAATACTCAACACAGAGTTAGAGGACGCTAGGTAGACAGTTTGAGTCTCTGCGAGAGAGAACAAAAGTTCCCCGACTGCCAACTGCAAACCCATTTCCGCCCCAGGACCGACAGTGATACAACCAGTTCCATCGATGCTTGTAGTTTGCAACCAGTAAGTGTTGTACAAACAAATAGAACCGTCATTTGTAATTCTCGAGAGTCCACCATCTCCAAGAACTTGCTCGATAACCAAAAGTGCACCCCCACTAGACTCCCTCCGGAACACCATCATACCGGTATTGGACCATGAGGTTACAGAAGTTACAATGAATGGCGATCCGATGAGGGTCGCGCCAGATATACCAAAGTACATATCACCAGTGTTATCAAAAGATCCAACAGTAGCAATGTCATAAGTAGAAAGAAGCGGCGATGCCATGGAGTTGAACGACACAACCCCAGAGTTCACAAAGTAACCGCCTGTCATAACTACTGAAGAAGTCAAGCCGTTAGCGCTCGTGACGTAGAAGCCACCTGCATTGTCAACAGTGCCCACTATAGTCACAAGAACACTATTAACAATCGAATAGTAAACTCCAGCATTGATAATAAGATTTCCTATGGATATGTCAAGTGTGGTTATCTGTACGGTGTTTTCAGTTATGGTGACCGCGAATACCAAGATGAGGAAATACGAGATCGCCACGACCAGCGCGCCTATTCCTGGTTTCATGGTGTGGTGGATAAGAATGAACAGGTCTAAAAATGTAATTGGAAGACTCGAAAAGCCAGGTCTCCCGGCTTTTATTTCAATTCCAAAGAACTTTCCGAAATGTATCGGGAAACTTTAAGTTCACATTGGTATTGACCTCGTGATTTCAGCTTGCCTTCCTTGCATATGGAGGTGGAGTCATTTCCCCATGTGCGACGCGTGCAGGCCCGAAGCCTAAAATTTACGCTGCTTCAAAACTTCACTCTTTTGGAATTCATGGGAGTAATGAACAGCAAAAGGCTCTGAAAGGGGCTAAAAATCAATGAGATTTCTAGTTGGACCCAAAATTATTTATAAGTAGTAGCTCCGGAACGCTTGGTCAGCACAGAATTGTTCTCATCACTCCTTCTTTCTCCCTCGCACAGAGAAACTTAATTCTAAATATAAAAATCTGGGTATTTACTTGAGCCAAGAAAGCCTGACCTATATGCGAAAGAAATTGAAGGATATACCAAAATGGGCCTATCAGCATTTTCTTATTTTCGAAAGGCGGTACTTACAATACACGAGCTATCCAAGGTATAAAGAGTTCTGGAGCTACACTACACTACCTTTTTGTTGAAGTAGGATGTCGACCGGGCAGATTAAGCTGGTCAACGTATCAGCTTACCCTGTTTATGCGCTCGCATGACTAGGAAGTACGCTTATTCTGATTTTGAATGCGGTTTTCAGTGCTCGCATCTAATGCTATAGCGAAAAGTAGTGGTTACGGTAACCAAGATTAAATTTTCGCACTAGCCTGTGGCAAGACAAATGCGCGGAATCCGAATATTAGGTTTTGATTCGCGGAATGATATTTTGGTAAACTAGTCAGAAAACTGGGATTTGGGGGAGAGGCATTGTTGGGTAGTCGAAAGGCATCCTTCAAAATATGCCCGCTGTATATGTCCGGCAGATAGATATTAAGCAATCGTTTTCTTGGATCCTCGCATACTGCAAGCGAGCTTTCTTACTCTAAAAAGAGACGGGATTCACAATGTTTTCTGCAACATATTTCTTCAGCACTTCAAAATTTTTGGGGGAAACAAAATTTTTATGCAGATAAGATAACATTGCCGATGGTGGGATCAATTGGTCATCATATGTTTGGACTACAATTACTGTACACTGTCTGTAGGTTCTATCAAATTCTAGACTTCATGGAGACAATTTGCAAAATACTATACAGTAGAGTTTCGGGTACTAAATATTATAAGTACTCGGCGATAAACAACTTAGCTAGCCTTAATTCAACAACAACTTCGCTGTACCAGAACTGTAATTCGCACCATTAGAGTATTGTGCTAGAACCCAAAACATCCCTAGCTCTGCCAATATGACGTATTGTTTGGTGAGTCGAGTCAATATCAGTGAAAGTCTATTGTGGACATGCAAGTCATTTTTGCCATGAAGTAAAATGCACACTCTTTGATGAGAATAGACCCCGCAGAGTCGGAGCTGGGAGCAGACGCATTGGCCGCATAGAAAAATTTCATCAAAGATAAGAGACATGAACTACTCATTAATCTCTTGGGATAAAATACGTCACGATGCTCAACAGGGATGTTTTTTAACCATATCAAATTAGGCCCAAAGTCTACTTAAACTAACGCGACTTTCTCTTTTCTCGCTGTATGCACACTGGCAAAATCTCGACTGGTCAGGTTCGCTTCTCATGTTTGCTCCCTCTTTAAGGTTTGATAGTAGCACCGAGTCTAAGGTCTGCCCCAACACATACCCGCTAAGGTCCATATTTCGAAAAAAAAAAGCATCATAATTAATATATATATATATTTACATATACATATATTTATCCCTTATCGAGTTTTGTCAAGACCGTGACCAGCAAGAAAGCATGGAAGTATCGACCGTAGAATTCACGCGTTTGGAGTTGCCACAGTTTTATTGAAAGGATTCAACAATGAGGGATAGATAGTCGTATATACTTGAGAGCAAACTAGAATTTAATTTTCAATGGTGGGGTGATGTGGAAAGAATCATGAGATGCTCCACTAAGGGACAAGAAAAGTCAAAATATTTATCTGAGCAACTGAGGGGTTTTCTGCACGTCGCTAAATACCAGATACTACCCCTATGGTCTTAAGAAAGCCCACGAGGTCAACATTAACCCCATGTATATTTCCAAATATCTGAATAGCTGTCATGGGGGACTCGTCCCAGATAGGCATGTCGGAAACACTAAGGAGTGAGCAAAGGTGTGCTACTACAAACTACCAAAGACCGTGATCAACGAATTGGACGGTCGTTTGGGATATTAGGTTCGAAAATGGGAGCCTATTCAGGATGTTTATGAGTTGCGACCAGAGAGGTGGAGCCGCGATCTGTTATGGGCTTTCTGAATTACAATCACTTGCTCGGAGGTAATGTACATACACCCATCCAGGTTTAATAATGTGGTTTCTGCATAACACAGGACGATATGGCTTGGTATCAAATGACAGCTGCAATGTTATCAGCTGAGAGTTATTCGACATTGAAGCAACGATATATCTAAAAGATTGCAAAGGTTATACTTTCATGTTATCATGAATAATTCAACAAAACCAAATATACCTTTGTGAACCATTGTGTTCCGTCTAGTACTATAAGACATCTTATCGAATAGTTTTCCCTTCCCAGGTCCTTCTCCGTCTTATCCATGTGATCTGATATAAATGATCTCAATACTATAGTAGTTGAAGGATTGCAAACACAAATTATTCTTGCAAAGTCATTTACTTTAGCTAAAAATGTTGTCACCTAATTTGCAGTCGAAATCAACCAAATAAAAACAGGCATTGCAGAATGGTAGAAGTTTTCCTGAAATTCCAAACTAAGTCATAGCGGAAATGAGGCCTTGGGAGACAAGACTGACTACTTTTTAACTCCTAAGGCTTTGTAAGTGCTCTTAAACACCCAAATTTTAGTTTACAGTGACCTGGAAAGACTTATACGTCATCTCTTTCCACAAATCTTTTCTGGTCCTTATGGACAGTCGAGGAGTTGATTTTCGGTGGCTTATTGTCTCACACCCGAGATATAAGACTTTATAGCCATCATCTAGAGACGTAAACAGGATGCCTCCAGATAGAGGCAATTGCACTATTGGGGATGAAAGGAAATGGATATAGTTCTGTCCTCACTCTCGAGCTATAAGAGGTTTTTATTGTACTTGCATTCTTCATTTTCAACTTGTTTGATCACGTGACGTGAGTTCATTTTCAGTTTTCAGAGTGCATGTCAAGTTTGCCGCAACTATACTCAGCACAGGACATCAACTCCAAACGACCCCTGTTTTCTTTGTGTCTTATTTTTTAATTGTTAGATTATTCATTATCGAAGTTGATTTTCCTAAGCATTTAATTTGGGCATGTAATATGAGAGGTGCGAGGCGCAGTGATGAAAATGAAAGTTGTAAGATGCCGTGTTAAAAAGCAACTCGAGACCGCTCCGCATCGCAATCGCAAACATCGCAATAGTAACATTGCTGCCGAAGACCAATCTTTGCTGAAGATCCGTGGCGGTATTTAAATCACGCCCCAATCGCTACACAATGTGCAAGCCCACTTAAAATCCAGGTAATTTTATCTACATCATACGAATCTGTCCACCAAATCACCCTCGAACTATGTCTGCGCAATTCAACACGAAAACATATCAATTGAACAACAGCAAAACAATCCCCGCTGTAGCCCTTGGTACGTGGTTGGCCACAGACAACGACTGCGTGGAGGCAGTCTCTTATGCCTTGAAGAATGGATACAGACATATCGACACAGCGGCTCACTATGGCTGCGAAAAGGAAGTAGGCCAGGGTATTAGAGAGTCCGGAATTCCCAGAGAAGAGATTTTTCTCACCACAAAAGTATGGAATTTTGATCACAAAAACGTCAAAGGGGCCTTTGAGGATTCCTTAAGCAGATTAGGATTGGACTACGTGGATATGTACTTACTTCACTGGCCAAAGTCTCTTGACCCAGCAACAGAGTTTCCTTACAAAGACTGGGACTTTGTCGACACGTACAAAGAGATGCAAAAGTTGTTGGACACTGGAAAAGTAAAGTCGATCGGCATCTCGAACTTTACCGTTGCTAAGGCTAGAAAGCTATTGGCTGACCCTGGAGTGACAGTCAAGCCTGTCGTGAACCAAATCGAGGGTCATCCATTGTTGCCACAGCCAGAATTAACGAAATGGTTCCGAGACCAGAACATTGTTATCGAATGTTACTGTCCATTGGGCTCCTCAGAAACTACTTTGGTGAAGACTGATGAAATTGTTGACATCGCTAAGAGGAATAATGTTGATGTCGGGCAAGTCTTGATATCATGGGGTGTGCAACGAAACACAGTTGTTTTGCCCAAGTCTACGAAGAAAGACAGGATAATTTCGAACTTGAAGACTTTTACTCTAAGTGACGAAGATATGCACATACTCGACACTCTCACCGACAAGTACGGTGTTCAAAGGGCTGTTCCAGATGACGTATTCGAGGACTAATTGATCTTTATGAGACGTTAATAAGTTAACCCAATCACAAGAAATGAAATGTATGCAATATTTAAATATACTGTAGCATCTGCGAACAAATGTTGAGCAAACCCTCATTATAAGTGCTCCTGGAGCACGAGAGGTCTACAACACATGGATATATAGTTCCAAGCCACTACTTAGAAGTAATCCAAAATGTTTGAGAAGACACCACTCCAAAAACTGTGGAATGAAAGTCGCGATTATTTTTGAACATAAGGGCTTAACTTTTGCATAGATCTCCAGAATTCCACTTCTCCTGCGCCTGAGGTATCGTGCTCTGCCTCAAATATTAGATCTTATCTCAGATAGGCAGATCTCTTAACACACCTTATGCAGGATGTATGCCACCCAATGCTGGAAACAAGGCTTGTGCCCCGAAATCGGAGCTAACCCTCGCGTGCTTGAGGATCGATACCTGCAGTTATATAGTAAAAAATAATTTATACACAAGGAGTTTGGGGCGACAGAGAAAGCCATCATACCAGAATGTTCGGCTGCCTGACGAATCGCGTGGTTTGGGTGTCCTTCCTGCTAAATGTAATTCTTGGATGCTGGATTGTCTACTTTACGTCAAAAGCTGCTAGTCACCGAAAGACTCCTTCGGATCTTCTTTTTTTGGGTCATCGATTACCTTCAATCTTTCAAAATGCAACAGAAAATCACTGGAAGTTTCCAATTGATTTCGAGAACGCCACTGCAGTATTCAATAGTGTATACGGGGCTACTAAAGAAAAGGACTCCAACATGAATCCTGTCGGGGTTAACTTCTTTCCTGCTTATATTGCTCCCAATACATTTATGTATCACAGTCGGGATGACCCAAGGATACCTGAACTGTATGAATGGCTTGCCATGGATTACGAATTCAGCTATAGCTTTGCCTCTTTTGGACGTGGAATCCCCAGAAGACATACGGATGGGCCCGGTAAGCCAGGAAGTCCAGAAAGGCCTTCCCCTGGCCTGCCTGGAGGCAGAGCTCTGCGGAAGGATCCACCTAAAATATCCAGCCCAGAAGCATTGAAACACAATATCAATTTGGAAAAGCAATTTCCAGAGAAAAAGCAATCCTACTTGTTCACTTTCAAGAACAAACATCCATTAGACAAGTTAATCTTCTTAGATGGAGATTCAGCCGCCAAATCTACAACAGGTGAGATGGATCAGCAAATGATACTCAGTCAACAGGAGGATGTAGATGGTTATGTCAATGAAAGGGAAGCAGCAGATAGAATTTGCAAATGGGGAAGCGCATTTGGATTACAAGGCATAGTTCGCCTTGAGGTCGGATTCGAATTAATCTTGTGTGATTTTCATCGAGACCTTGAGCTCATCTCCAATGTCACGTTGTACAACACTACTAATTTGGCTGGATTCCCCTGCGAAATACCGGAGCCTAAAAGCGGCTTGGAGAAGTCCAGAAGTAGGCTCATGGATGGTTGGCAATCCATGAGTAGATTTGAGTGGATGAGATCAGGTGCGGATGTAAATGATGGTGACGAAAGAATATTGGTTGATTTTTCGAATATGGTTACACCATTGAATAAGACATGGATTGACCCCGATCCTTATCAAAGAAGAATCAACACAATTCCCCAGGACCTTAAAAACAGTATTCTCATAGAACTTGAGAGTACCATATCCAAAGGTGTGAACCCCTTCCATCGCACCAACTGGCCTCAAATCATCGGCCATATCGTCAACAAGTTTTCACCCATGCTTTTGAATTTGAACAACACTCTCGCTATTTTTGAAAGCTCTCCGGATTCAGATTTAGCACTGGCATTAAAAAGAGCTTCTGAAAGTATTTCAACGTCCACTTTTAATTTCATCAGAAGATATAGCGATGAAGATATTACGGATGATAATAATCGAAGTTTTATGGCTTTACGATTTGCAGTGGAAGATTATGTTCACAACACATTTGAAATTCAAACTCAACTGGATCGGTTAATCTATTCATCTGTGTACAAAGTCACTAAAGAAATCATCGATGCAATATTCAGATTACATGCTGTTTCTATAGCTATCCTTCCAGACTTTTACGTGGTGCCAACTGTCAATAATTACACCGAACACAAAGAGGCCATTTTACGGGAGAATAGGTCTCTCCAAGCGCTTTTGAAATCCTTGAGGTGGTCAGCTTTCACCAGATGCTCTCGAAAGTGTGGTTGGAATGAGGTTTGTGCTGTGCCAGGATGGGGTCCAGGGCCAATGGGCTGGATGTTTGGCAACGAAAAATACTTGCACTACGAACTGGGCAGCTACAGGGTGAATAAGGAGCTACAATGTGTGAGTATCAAAGATTTGTGATGATGAAAGAATTTATTGTTCTAGAATATATAGAAATGCTTTTAATGTGAGCTGCTATGCAATGAAGCCAGCTTCATACAGTGGTGATTAAGGGACGATTCCAGACCAGTGCAATCGTCTTATATTGAAGTTTTTTTTCTTCAGAAAACTCGATGATTTCTCCACCTTCGTCACTAGACGCACAGTAGTAGATACCGCCACAGCCCCGACTGCGATCCTTGACAAAGCGTGATGTGATGTTCGACAGGTTTCGCTCATTAAGGTGTTCTATAGAAGCCGGAAGAGCTGCATGCTTGATTTCAACCAGGCTCTTATAGTTGTCTCGCAAATCAAAAATGGAGTAGTTGAACTTTTTCCTCAAATGCGGATACAGCAAGAAATCTACGAGCCAAGAATCTCTTTTGCAAACGTTTAGAGCTCCGTTTGTCCAAAGAAGCTCTCTTTCCTTGCTGAAATGACCAATCTGAGTGGAGCAGACGGTGTTGTTGGTTTCCATTACTCCGACGGCAGCGGCGGATATTTCGTTGAAATGAAAATTAGAATTTCCACTTATTAGTTGGCCGAGCCAAAACAAGTCTTTGTCTCCGCACATGATCCTTCCTGACTTGAACCAATATTGAAGAGCCAAGGATATTATGATGCCCAGAAGATGGGAGCTTCTTCTGAGAACAACGACACCACTTTCCATGACATGCTTAGACTTGAAATTGAAAAAGTTGTTGTCAAACTTTGAGCAATCAATCGACACATTGAAAAGCTCGTCACTTCTGGGTATTATCGATGAGAAAAACTCAAACTGTGAGTTGGAAAGTGTTTCAGACAACTCGCGATCCTTGAAGAAATATGCCCCAGTACGTTTGTATCCATCGAAATCAAAGAAGGTTTCGGGCTTCACGAAGGGGACGACATCTGCATCTACGAGAATGATCTCCTCGAAAGTGCTGAAAAGAGCAGCGAACCACTTGTTGTTATACCCACGGAAAACTTGGCTGAACCCACTTCTTAGTGTGGGGGAAACATCCATGAATTCCACAATTTGCTTGCCTTTCGTCACCAGCTTTAGCAAGCTTATTGAAGCTGCCGACAAATCACCTTTATGTATGACTTGAATGGGGAGGGTATTCCCTAAATGATGGAGTACTTGAAGTAAGCGGCAGGCAAACTCAGTATTGGCATCGTCTAGACTGACAACAATCCCTCTGCCCCTGGACATGTTGACATAGCGTGACCAATAGAATCCCCGACCAAGCACAAAGGGTGCCCAGTCATGGTGTGCGATGAGCGGGAGGTCACCAGAAAACATGGGTAGGAGTTCGGCCCCCATGAGAGCCGAGTCACGTGTTTCGTCAAGCTGGAAGTCCAAGTGGCACTTCAAATATACACGGAGGTGGTCCACATGGTTAGCGATCTGGCGACTGGTCAAGTATCGCGAGTCGGATGGCCGAGAAGTGGCCAGGGCTCTTACGAAGTCAAAGTATTTCTGGCATTTCTCGTGGGCATGTGAGTACGGCCCAACAGCAGATATCACACTAGGCACAATCTGCTCAAAAGGCACGCTTTGGTACGATGAATTGGGCCAGAACATGTAAGATAGACATAGTACCCATGCTATGATGAGCAGAGTGACGCGGAACTTCGACTTCATTTCTCATGTTCTTTTCTATGTGCTTCAAGAAAATCAATCAGCACCGGAGCGATCGTGAGATTCGGATTGGAATGATGCCAGGCGGGCTCGGCCAGGCGCTATTTCGGTGGAATCGCAGGTACGGTTCGTGCGGAGAACTCCTGACTATTTCCTCAAGGGCTGTGTCCTCAAGCAGGCGTGTGGAATGAGAGGCTGTGTATGGGAAAGAGACGATGCTTCTTCAGGACAAGAGCACCCCTTGTAAATACGACTGTAAACAATTCAAGTCAAAAAAAAAACGTGGACGGTCAGTGGGGTCGAAACCACAGAGTATGTACTGCAATGGTTTTTTTTTTTTTTTTT